GGATTTTTTAAAGAATATTTTTTCAACCACCAACAGACCAAGAAATGTGGATTTTTTAAAGAATATTTTTTTTAAACCACCAACAGACCAAGAAACGTGGATTTTTTAAAGAATATTTTTTCAACCACCAACAGACCAAGAAACGTGGATTTTTTAAAGAATATTTTTCCAACGACCAACAGACCAAGAAATGTGGATTTTTTAAAGAATATTTTTTCAACCACCAACGGACCAAGAAACGTGGATTTTTTAAAGAATATTTTTTTTAAACCACCAACAGACCAAGAAACGTGGATTTTTTAAAGAATATTTTTCCAACGACCATCAGTTGAAGAAACGTGGATTTTTTAAAGAATATTTTTCAACCACCAACAGATCAAGAAACGTGGATTTTTTAAAGAATATTTTTTCAACGACCATCAGTTGAAGAAACGTGGATTTTTTAAAGAATATTTTTCCAACGACCAACAGACCAAGAAATGTGGATTTTTTAAAGAATATTTTTTCAACCACCAACAGACCAAGAAATGTGGATTTTTTAAAGAATATTTTTTTTAAACCACCAACAGACCAAGAAACGTGGATTTTTTAAAGAATATTTTTCCAACGACCATCAGTTGAAGAAACGTGGATTTTTTAAAGAATATTTTTTCAACCACCAACAGATCAAGAAACGTGGATTTTTTAAAGAATATTTTTTCAACCACCAACAGATCAAGAAACGTGGATTTTTTAAAGAATATTTTTTCAACCACCAACAGATCAAGAAACGTGGATTTTTTAAAGAATATTTTTCCAACGACCATCAGTTGAAGAAACGTGGATTTTTTAAAGAATATTTTTTCAACGACCATCAGTTGAAGAAACGTGGATTTTTTAAAGAATATTTTTCCAACGACCAACAGACCAAGAAATGTGGATTTTTTAAAGAATATTTTTTCAACCACCAACAGATCAAGAAACGTGGATTTTTTAAAGAATATTTTTTCAACCACCAACAGATCAAGAAACGTGGATTTTTTAAAGAATATTTTTTCAACCACCAACAGATCAAGAAACGTGGATTTTTTAAAGAATATTTTTTCAACCACCAACAGATCAAGAAACGTGGATTTTTTAAAGAATATTTTTTCAACCACCAACAGATCAAGAAATGTGGATTTTTTAAAGAATATTTTTTCAACCACCAACAGATCAAGAAACGTGGATTTTTTAAAGAATATTTTTTCAACCACCAACAGATCAAGAAACGTGGATTTTTTAAAGAATATTTTTTCAACGACCATCAGTTGAAGAAACGTGGATTTTTTAAAGAATATTTTTTCAACGACCATCAGTTGAAGAAACGTGGATTTTTTAAAGAATATTTTTCCAACGACCAACAGACCAAGAAATGTGGTTTTTTTAAAGAATATTTTTTTTAAACCACCAACAGACCAAGAAACGTGGATTTTTTAAAGAATATTTTCCAACGACCATCAGTTGAAGAAACGTGGATTTTTTTAAGAATATTTTTCCAACGACCATCAGTTGAAGAAACGTGGATTTTTTAAAGAATATTTTTCCAACGACCATCAGTTGAAGAAACGTGGATTTTTTAAAGAATATTTTTCCAACGACCATCAGTTGAAGAAACGTGGATTTTTTAAAGAATATTTTTCCAACCACCATCAGACCAAGAAACGTGGATTTTTTAAAGAATATTTTTCCAACCACCATCAGACCAAGAAACGTGGATTTTTTAAAAAATATTTTTCCAACGACCATCAGTTGAAGAAACGTGGATTTTTTAAAGAATATTTTTCCAACGACCATCAGTTGAAGAAACGTGGATTTTTTAAAGAATATTTTTCCAACGACCATCAGTTGAAGAAACGTGGATTTTTTAAAGAATATTTTTCCAACGACCATCAGTTGAAGAAACGTGGATTTTTTAAAGAATATTTTTCCAACGACCATCAGTTGAAGAAACGTGGATTTTTTAAAGAATATTTTTCCAACGACCATCAGTTGAAGAAACGTGGATTTTTTAAAGAATATTTTTCCAACGACCATCAGTTGAAGAAACGTGGATTTTTTAAAGAATATTTTTCCAACGACCATCAGTTGAAGAAACGTGGATTTTTTAAAAAATATTTTTCCAACCACCATCAGTTGAAGAAACGTGGATTTTTTAAAAAATATTTTTCCAACCACCATCATTTGAAGAAACGTGGATTTTTTAAAAAATATTTTTCCAACCACCATCATTTGAAGAAAGGTGGATTTTTTAAAGAATATTTTTTTTAAGGACGAACAGTTGAAGAAATTTGGATTTTTTAAAAAAAATATTTTTTCAACGACCATCAGTTGAAGAAACGTGGATTTTTTAAATAATATTTTTTCAAGGACGAAAAGTTGAAGCAACGTGTATTTTTTAGAGAATATTTTTTCAAGGACCAAAATATGGCATTTTCAGGAACCTCCAATATTTTAGATTTTTCTTAAATAAGAATCCACATTAATGTTGAGATTTATTTATTTTTTATTTCATGTCTTTTTATAAAAAATATTTTTAAAATTCAAAAAAAAAAAAAATAAAAATAGTAGAAAGTTGTTCCAAAAATTTCAATTCTCTTCATTTTTCATTCATTATTCATCCTTTTTTCATTGCTCGTTTGAAAACTTGGTTATATCCCTATAGTGATCCTCCTTTCCAACAGGATACGCATCGCCATTACATGGCAAGTGGCGGCAACTTACAGGCGGAGCAATGATACCAACTCGGGCGGCAACTAGACATATACATATAACCACTATTAAGAAGAACAGCATTGTAAGGAATTGCATTTTAAATTTTTAAAATTTTCTGCAGCGATTTTTCCTTTAAAATAACAAGTTTTAACAATTTCCAACGAACAACTGAGCGATCGGACTGAACTGGTTTTATATAGAATACGGCCCGGCCGAACTTACAGCTTTTTACTTATTTTTTTTTCTCAATAAAAATTAAATATTTATTTGTGTGACACCACAATAGCCTCTGTTTGATTTATAATCGAACATACATTTATATATATTTGCCGAGAATTAAAAATAGAAAAAAAAGTTGCAATTGTTTTGCTTTCCACATTTCGAAATGCATTTTGTGGTTTTTGGCGAGATGGCAATAAATAAATAAATAAATTCATGCATGCATCCCCACAATGCAAAGTACATTACTCATCGGTAATTGCCGCTTGGAGATTAGTCATGGCAGGGGGTGGGCAAAATTAAATTACAATTTAAAATAAATTATATGACAATAAATACTTTTCAAATAGAAATGTTGCAAAAATAAACTAAGTTATAGATAACAAAACAAATAAAGAGACAACGGGGAGGGCCTTTTTAAAAAATATTTATTCAAGGACCAACAGTTGAAGAATTGTGGATTTTTTAAGAATATTTTTTTAAGGACCAAGAGTCCAAGAAACGTGGATTTCTTAAAGAATATTTTTTCAAGGACCTTTAGTCCAAGAAACGCGGATTTTTTAAAGAATATTTTTTCAAGGACTTTTAGTCCAAGAAACGTGGATTTTTTAAAGAATATTTTTTCAAAGACCTTTAGTTCAAAATACGTGGATTTTTTAAAGAACATTTGTTCAAGGACCAAAGGACTAAGAAAAGTGGTTTGTTTTAAAGAATATTTTTTCAAGGATCTTTAGTCCAAGAAACGTGGATTTTTTAAAGTATATTTTTTCAAGGACCAAAAAACCAAGAAACGTGGATTTTTTAAAGAATATTTTTTCAAGGACCAAAAAACCAAGAAACGTGGATTTTTTAAAGAATATTTTTTCAAGGACCAAAAAACCAAGAAACGTGGATTTTTTAAAGAATATTTTTTCAAGGACCAAAAAACCAATAAACGTGGATTTTTTAAAGAATATTTTTTCAAGGACCAAAAAACCAATAAACGTGGATTTTTTAAAGAATATTTTTTCAAGGACCAAAAAACCAAGAAACGTGGATTTTTTAAAGAAAATTTTTTCAAGGACCAAAAAACCAAGAAACGTGGATTTTTTAAAGAATATTTTTTCAAGGACCAAAAAACCAAGAAACGTGGATTTTTTAAAGAATATTTTTTCAAGGACCAAAAAACCAAGAAACGTGGATTTTTTAAAGAATGTTTTTTCAAGGACCAAAAAACCAAGAAACGTGGATTTTTTAAAGAATATTTTTTCAAGGACCAAAAAACCAAGAAACGTGGATTTTTTAAAGAATATTTTTCAAGGACCAAAAAACCAATAAACGTGGATTTTTTAAAGAATATTTTTTCAAGGACCAAAAAACCAAGAAACGTGGATTTTTTAAAGAATATTTTTTCAAGGACCAAAAAACCAAGAAACGTGGATTTTTTAAAGAATATTTTTTCAAGGACCAAAAAATCAAGAAACGTGAATTTTTTAAAGAATATTTTTTCAAGGACCAAAAAATCAAGAAACGTGGATTTTTTAAAGAATATTTTTTCAAGGACCAAAAGACCAAAAAACGTGAATTTTTTAAAGAATATTTTTTAAGGACCAAAAGACCAAAAAACCTGGATTTTTTAAAGAATATTTTTTTAAGGACCAAAAGACCAAAAACTTGTATTTTTTAAAGAATATTTTTTTAAGGACCAAAAGACCAAAAACGTGGATTTTTTAAAGAATATTTTTTTTTATGGTATTAAAATATTTTCTGAGAATTATTTGCTTCGACTTGGTAATTGTTCTCCCTAATCGTTTATTAATTATTTAGTCTATTTGAAATTCAAACTCATCGAAACAAGCTATATTATGGCGTATAAGTAATGACGTCAATGATACCACACCGAGGTCATTGTGGCGTATGGGTAATGACGTCAGTTATACGCCACCCCAGCATTTTCAATAAATTAGTTTTATTAGCTAATTAATTTTGTATTTCTTGAATTAATTTCGTTAATATTTCCAAGTCAAACGAAACTAAGCATCTACCTCAACTCCCTTTCTATTTTGCAGATATCAAATAAATGAATCGGAAACAGGAAAATTCCATTACTTTTTAATAAACTCGAAATGAGCAACAATAAAAACCAATTAAAAAGGCAATAAAAAATTTTGACTAGTTGAAAAATGAAAATGAGAACAGCAGCAACAAATAATGCCATGAACAAAGATAAGGAAATCAGGGAAAAGACCAAACAACGAATTGGTGTAGCAACGATGGCCACGCTTTGCAAATTACAAATATTTGTGTAAAACAAAAGAAAAACATTGGAAAATCGACAAAGAAAAATAGCAATAAATAACTTGACCCAACCAAAGAAGGTAGGAAGAGAGAGGGAGAGCGCACAAGGAAAGGTTGTACGCCACTAATCCAAAGCGGATACTGCGGAAACCATAGAAAACAAAAATAGCAATTTTCCTGGGAAATCCACAAAAAAGGTGAAACGAAAACCAGGTGGCAAAGGAAAACAACTAATCCATGAAGAGATATGGAAAAACTCCACTTCATGCCAAATTCCATTTCTCCAGGATATTGAAATAATAAACATCCTCCAAAAAACAACATATCATCAGCGGTGGTAGCCCAGAAAACAACAATGAAAATGTCGAGAAGAAAATTCCATGAAAAATTCGAATCTTGCAATTCCGCAATGCTTCGCCGAGGCACCGGAGAGCCATTGGACTATTGTGAGTTGTCCGACCAAGATAGCCAGGCATTGCAATTGAAAAAGACCCCACATCCTATCTTCGAATTGTTTGGCTTTGATCCTTCGTCTCCGGGCTCACCCTCCTACCAGGCGGCGAGGCGACATGACATTATTTGCTCAACGAACTCAACGGCTTTGAGTTGCAACACCCGAGCCGAAATCCGAAAATGCCCCTCACCACAAACATCAACGACCCTCGCTACTAATTCTAATGACAGCTGTGGCGGCAACATGACCCTTGGGCCCAGGAGCTTTGTCTCCGTGTCCTCCACTACATTAACATACAATTTACTGCATCGCTTGCTGGCATCCTTGCTGTGGCAGGTGACAGCCTCAACTGTGATAGCCATGCTTACAACGTTATTGTATTGCATTGGCCAGGTAGAGGGTGTTGCAGCAACGACAACAACAAATGTTCCCCTACTAATATGGGAGCAACAAAATCCCACAATATCCTCACTCCAACACCCACCCATTTACACCTTGTCAACTCAGCCAGCAGCCGGCTCGTCCAGTATCAATGGGTCTAACAAAAAAGGCCATAAAAATGCCCACAGCCGTCTAAATGGAAGTGGCAACAACAGTCCGAACATTACTGGAGGACCATCACGTAATTTTAATACAACAACTAGAACAACAACAACTTCGTCGACGGAAATAACAATTTTAAATGATGTTTCCGCCATGGCTACTACATCCGTTTATGGGAGTAGTTTTACAACTCCAACATCGCCATCGACAGTCCATCAGAATTATGGGGACCATAAAAGGCTGCAGGATAACAACGTTGTCGGCCATGATGCTGATGAGGATATGGCAGCTTTAATTCCCTACTTAAATGGCACCAATGGCCGTAATGTTAGCCAGGCAAATGGTAATGCCATTACTTTGGATGATATCTCCGAGGAGGAGGCTTCGGAGTATATTTTTGATCGTACCGATGTGAGGATAATATTTATAACATTGTACACTATGGTGTTTTGCTGTTGCTTTTTTGGTAAGTAAAATGCTAAAAATGTATACTTCTATGAGGGAAAAATAATTATTTCCAGGATATTGGGGCGTATGAGTAGTGACAACAGTCATACGCAACATGGGACGGGAGTAAAGACCAATATAAGCGTGGATTTTTTGAAAATATTTTTTCATCCACCATCAATAAACGTAGATCTTTTAAAAATATTTTTTCATCCACCATCAATAAACGTGGATTTTTTAAAAATATTTTTTCGTCCACCATCAATAAACGTGGATTTTTTAAAAGTATTTTTTCATGGACCAACAATAAACGTGGATTTTTTAAAAATATTTTTTCATGGACCATCAATAAACGTGGATTTTTTAAAAATTATTTTTCATGGACCCTCAATAAACGTGGATTTTTTAAAAATTATTTTTCATGGACCCTCAACAAACGGGGATTTTTTAAAAATATTTTTTTATGGACCATCAATAAACGTAGATTTTTTAAAAATTATTTTTCATGGACCCTCAATAAACGTGGATTTTTTAAAAATATTTTTTCATGGACCATCAATAAACGTGGATTTTTTAAAAATATTGTTTCATGGACCATCAATAAGCGTGGATTTTTTAAAACTATTTTTTCATGGACCAACAATAAACGTGGATTTTTTAAAAAATATTTTTTCATGTACCATTAATAAACTTGGATTTTTTAAAAATAATTCTTCATGGACCATCAATAAACGTGGATTTTTTAAAAATATTTTTTTCATGGACCATCAATAAACGTGGATTTTTTAAAAATATTTTTTTCATGGACCATCAATAAACGTGGATTTTTTAAAAATATTTTTTTCATGGACCATCAATAAACGTGGATTTTTTAAAAATATTTTTTTCATGGACCATCAATAAACGTGGTTTTTTTAAAAATATTTTTTTCATGGACCATCAATAAACGTGGATTTTTTAAAAATATTTTTTTCATGGACCATCAATAAACGTGGATTTTTTAAAAATATTTTTTCATGGACCATCAATAAACGTGGATTTTTTAAAAATATTTTTTTCATGGACCATCAATAAACGTGGATTTTTTAAAAATATTTTTTCATGGACCATCAATAAACGTGGATTTTTTAAAAATATTTTTTCATGGACCATCAATAAACGTGGATTTTCTAAAAATATTTTTTTCATAGACCATCAATAAACGTGGATTTTTTAAAAATATTTTTTCATGGACCATCAATAAACGTGGATTTTTTAAAAGTATTTTTTTCATGGACCATCAATAAACGTGGATTTTTTAAAAGTATTTTTTTCATGGACCATCAATAAACGTGGATTGTTTAAAAATATTTTTTCATGGATTATCAACGAACGAGGATTTTTTAAAAATATTGTTTCATGGATTATCAATAAATGTGGATTTTTTAAAAATATTTTTTTATGGATTATCAACGAACGTGGATTTTTTAAAAATATTTTTTCATGGATTATCAACGAACGTGGATTTTTTAAAAATATTTTTTCATGGATTATCAACGAACGTGGATTTTTTAAAAATATTTTTTCATGGATTATCAACGAATGTGGATTTTTTAAAAATATTTTTTCATGGATTATCAACGAACGTGGATTTTTTAAAAATATTTTTTCATGGATTATCAACGAACGTGGATTTTTTAAAAATATTTTTTCTTGGATTATCAACGAACGTGGATTTTTTAAAAATATTTTTTTTAATGGACTATCAGTGAACGTGGATTTTTTAAAAATATTTTTTGATGGACCATCAATAAACGTGGATTTTTTAAAAATATTTTTTCATGGACCATCAATAAACGTGGATTTTTTAAAAATATTTTTTCATGGGCCATCAATAAACGTGGATATTTTAAAAATGTTCTTTTCATAGCCCATCAATAAACGTGGATTTTTTTAAAAATATTCTTTCATGGACCAAAAATAAACGTGGATTTTTAAAAATATTTTTTCATGGATCATCAATAAACGTGGATTTTCTTAAAAATATTCTTTCATGGACCATCAATAAACGTGGATTTTTAAAAATATTCTTTCATGGACCATCAATAAACGTGGATTTTTAAAAATATTTTTTCATAAGCCATCAATAAACGTGGATTTTTTAAAAATATTTTTTCATAAGTCATCGATAAACGTGGATTTTTTTAAAAATATTTTTTCATGGACCATCAATAAACGTGGATTTTTTAAAAATATTTTTTTCATAAACCATCAATAAACGTGGATTTTTTAAAAATATTTTTTTCATAAACCATCAATAAACGTGGATTTTGTAAAAATATTTTTTCATAAGCCATCAATAAACGTGGATTTTTTAAAAATATTTTTTACATAAACCATCAATAAACGTGGATTTTTTAAAAATATTTTTTTCATAAGCCATCAATAAACGTGGATTTTTTAAAAATATTTTTTCATGGACCAACAATAAACGTGGATTTTTTAAAAATATTTTTTCATGGACCATCAATAAATGTGGATTTTTTAAAAATATTTTTTTTTATGGACCATCAATAAACGTGGATTTTTTAAAAATATTTTTTCATGGACCATCAATAAACGTGGATTTTTTAAAAATATTTGTTCATGGACCATCAATAAACGTGGATTTTTTCCAAAATATTTTTTCATGGACAATCAATAAACGTGGATTTTTTAAAAATATTTTTTAATGGACCATCAATAAACGTGGATTTTTTAAAAATATTTTTTCATGGACCATCAATAAACGTGGATTTTCTAAAAATATTTTTTTCATAGACCATCAATAAACGTGGATTTTTTAAAAATATTTTTTCATGAACCATCAATAAAAGTGGATTTTTTAAAAATATTTTTTCATGGACCATCAATAAACGTGGATTTTTTAAAAATATTTTTTCATGGACCATCAATAAACGTGGATTTTTTAAAAATATTTTTTCATGGTCCACTAATAAACGTGGATTTTTTAAAAATATTTTTTCATGGATTATCAACGAACGTGGATTTTTTAAAAATATTTTTTCATGGTTTATCAACGAACGTGGATTTTTTAAAAATATTTTTTCATGGATTATCAACGAACGTGGATTTTTTAAAAATATTTTTTCATGGTTTATCAACGAATGTGGATTTTTTAAAAATATTTTTTCATGGTTTATCAACGAATGTGGATTTTTTAAAAATATTTTTTCATGGTTTATCAACGAAAGTGAATTTTTTAAAAATATTTTTTCATGGTTTATCAACGAATGTGGATTTTTTAAAAATATTTTTTCATGGTTTATCAACGAATGTGGATTTTTTAAAAATATTTTTTCATGGTTTATCAACGAAAGTGGATTTTTTAAAAATATTTTTTCATGGTTTATCAACGAATGTGGATTTTTTAAAAATATTTTTTCATGGTTTATCAACGAATGTGGATTTTTTAAAAATATTTTTTCATGGTTTATCAACGAAAGTGGATTTTTTAAAAATATTTTTTCATGGACACTTGTCTAGCTTTTTATTTACGACATATTTACAAGTTCTTTATGTTACACGTGTCGATACTGTCCCAAGGCAGCCTTTGTTGTGCGCCTTTTCTTAATTTAGTGACGAGATCAGATAGCTTCACATTGTCATGAATGAGAGCAACATAGGAAGTATTCTGCTGAGAATCGAAGAGAAAGGGGTGGGGCGTGGGAAGCATCTCGATACGAAATTGCTGATATGAAATAATTATCAAATTGCTTTTAGAAAACGTGTTTACATTCCATCCATTTTATTTAAAGCTCAACCCCGCCAACAAGGGGCGAAGGAGATGGAGATGAAGAGAGCAATAATTGCACCTGTTTAATGTTATGCTTTGCCACCCACCTTCCAGCTCCTCTTTCTCCTGGCCAACTTTTATGAAAGCCGTTTTATTGCTTTATATTAGGTGCTAAGGCCATATGAAACCTAATGGAGGTAGTAGGGATTTATTGTGGGATGGGATGGAAATTACATTGAAATCTACTTACACGTGTATGTTGAACATACGTGCATACATATGTTCTTTACACATTGGCATGGCACTCTATTTGTAGGCGATAAATTCTATGACAGATTTATTTGCGGTTAATGTTCGACATTAGCAGTTGGAAAGTGGGGTTAGAGAAGAGGGTCGCAGTAAGCCTGAAAGTGTGTGCAAAACATAAAGTGCCACTTAAAAGGCAAATTAAAAATTAAATCAGCAGACACTGGATATGACATGGTCTGTGGAGAGAGCGGAATAATGTTGATAAGCTTATCAACCACCCGCAGATTCAGAAAAGAAAGAGGGCTTTGGGCTTCAAATTTAGAAAAAAGGTTGATGGTTGAATATCAACGGCTAGATGAAACCGCGGAATTTTGAAATTTTGCACGAGGGACAGTCTTGGACCAAAGGACCAAGAATCGTGGATTTTTTAAGGAATATTTTTTTCAACGACCAAAAGACCAAGAAACATGGATTTTTTAAAGAATATTTTTTCAACGACCAAAAGACCAAGAAACGTGGATTTTTTAAAGAATATTTTTTCAACGACCAAAAGACCAAGAAACGTGGATTTTTTAAAGAATATTTTTTCAACGACCAAAAGACCAAGAAACGTGGATTTTTTAAAGAATATTTTTTCAACGACCAAAAGACCAAGAAACGTGGATTTTTTAAAGAATATTTTTTCAACGACCAAAAGACCAAGAAACGTGGATTTTTTAAAGAATATTTTTTTCAACGACCAAAAGACCAATAAACGTGGATTTTTTAAAGAATATTTTTTCAACGACCAAAAGACCAAGAAACGTGGATTTTTTAAAGAATATTTTTTCAACGACCAAAAGACCAAAAAACGTGGATTTTTTAAAGAATATTTTTTCAACGACCAAAAGACCAAGAAACGTGGATTTTTTAAAGAATATTTTTTCAACGACCAAAAGACCAAGAAACGTGGATTTTTTAAAGAATATTTTTTTCAACGACCAAAAGACCAAGAA